TCTGAAACGGCTTCCATAGCAGATGAATTACTTACGTTGGTATACAGAGCTTCCACGTCGAATGATTTCATAACCCAGGAGCTATTGGGACGCACCCTTTTAAGGCAACTCGGGAACATTTGAGTGTTGGCAAGGTGCGATGGTATAAATTGAAGCAACTGGGTCAAAATGGTGCTTAGGAACCAAGCGATCCTGTCAGTGGGACCCCCGACGCTGCTAACAATAGGTCTAACCTTGACAGAGGGAGCACGCCTCCACTTTCTTTTGAATTTATACAGCACATGAGCGTAAGCAACACCACATATTGGTTTCTATTGGTTCTGCTTCTGCTGAGCTCCCTCTTATGAAGAAAATATCATCTGCACAGGATATCAGGATCTTAGCACCGTTGACGGTTAGCTTAGTTCTTTGTTAGCTTCACTGGCACAACACCTTCTCTTCGACTGACCAACCTGATGGATCACCGGAAACACAATAGTTCTTATTATTGTTCTGAACTGTTGATAACGCCACTATCAAAAGTTCATGACCCATCCTGCCAATTTAATACTTGGGTGGTCGTATTGGTTTTGTTGCAAGTGATATCTGAATGTAGAGAAAACACAACACCTGGAGGAGTCACAAACATGATGCCTATTTGTGGTAATCTATTAGCAATTAATAGACCTGTTCTCCTCACATGTTACCGAAATCAATTCGTTATTAATCTTATCCTCTGACCAACATTTGCTGAATTTTGCCCCGACCAGTCGCATTGCCCAGCTGTAGCCGGGCATGCTCCTTCTTATGTAATGCCCGGCTACGCCGGGCATCCTCCTTCTTGTGTAGTAGGAACAAAGGTTGGTACAAACCATCTGAGATTTCCTTAAATTAATATAAAATGAATACTTCATTATAATAATGGCTAACACTTTTTTGACTATGAATCTTTGCGATTAGAGTTCATACATTACAAAAAGTTCGACCCATTCGAAAGTGTCAGACTTACTGAAACGGTCGAGATTGCTTTGAATCCTCGGAGAGATAAATTTCTTTACCTTACCTTACCAACGAAAATAGTAGAAGTATAATGGCATTACGTCCACAATAATCATGCGACGCGTAGTTCTTTGGAAATTCCGTTTCACATGAAAAGTTATAATTCAGAATGAACCGTGCTCTCAGTCAGTTCAGTGAGAGTTGTGTCTTCCCGGAAGAATCTCTTAGGGTGTTCGAAAAAGCATGTTTAAAAAAACATACCGTGCCGGAATTTTGGTTCAAATTCGGGTTAGATTTACCGATGCAGCCTCTTCAAAAAAGTTTTAATTCCTCAGAGAGCGTCAGCTCCTCATCTCACGATACCACATAGATTTTCAAGGAGATAGCTCCATTCGCTCACTAATTTCTTTCCCCATTAATCCAAAGGTTTAAGCTATGGATAGTGGTTGAATTGAAGAGTTCGTCTGACTATCATGTATGAATGAACTCTCATTGGGTCATTTTCTTGAAAGGTGACATTATGCTATCAATGAAGTGAATATCAATTTCTTCAAGAAAGAATGGTCCAATGTATGAAATGATTACAATCAGGATTTCTAGGAGAAGAGAACAGCCTGATTCTAGAGCAGAAGATGTATCTTGAGTCGTCGAGAAAGGGAAGCAGCCCTGAAAGGTCAAGGAGAGAAACTGAAACTGCGGATGAGCGTGATGCTAGACTTCAAAGAGAGGCCGAGCAAAGAAGGACAAGGCGTGCACAGGAGCCCTAGCAGCGAAGGGAGCTTCGCCAACGACTAGATGCTGAAAGAGCGAGAATTCGAAGGCAGCGTGAACGAGAATCTCAACGAAATGCGCGCCTTGCACAGATTGCCGACAGAGCTCGGACCAGAAGGCAGCTGGGAGTTGATGAGGAGAGAGAAGCGCGTTTGGCAGACAGTGCTCAGAGAGCTCGGGCCAGAAGACAGCAGGAGGATAGTGAGCAGAGAGAAACACGATTAGCACAAGTTGCTGAGAGAGCTCGAACCAGAAGGTAGCTGGAAGATGATGAGGATAGAGAAGCGCGTTTGGCAGACAGTGCTGAAAGAGCCCGGGCTAGAAGACAGCACGAGGATAATGAGCACAGGGAAGCGCGACTGGCAGAGGAAGCTGAGAGAGCACGGGCCAGAAGACGTTCAGAGAATGGATCGCAAAGGAGTATTAGGTTGGCACAGGAAGTGGAAAGATCAGGTTTAGAAGGCAACAAGAAGATGTACTTACTCGAGAGTTACGCCGAGCAGAAGATGCTATGAGAGTAAGATTGCGCAGAGAAGAAGAAGAAGAGGAAACGCGTCAACAGCGCAATGTCGCTTCAGCACAAAGGGAGCGTATTCGGAGAAGTCGTATGACATCTGCAGAGGTCCAGCAAAGGCAAAATATGGAAACTGAGCGATATCACGCTCGTGGAAGAATCATCTCAGCGCAAACAAGAGGATTAGCCAGGACCAATATGCAGCCGGATGAACACTACGATGGATCGATGAACGTCGCATGCGCGAGCTGTGAAGCAAAGCATTTCAAGTCTTGATCGGAGGGTAAGTGAACTTTTAATGACTGCTGCAATCATAGTAACATCAGTATCCGGCACTTCATCAACTACCCTGAGGAGCTCCGTCGACTGCTCACATATCAGGACCCTGAAGCGAGAGAATTCCGTGAACATATTCGCAGCTACAACAGCGCCTTCGCATTCGCTTCTATGGGCGCACAGCTGGATACGCCACGTGGACATGGCCCCTACTGTTTTCGAATTCACGGTCAGATTCACCACAGAATAGGACCTGCGCTCCCGGAAAATGGTCAACCACACCGTTACGGCCAAGTCTATATCCTAGACACCTCTATGGCAGCAGAAAAGGATGGGACATCCAGCAAACATAAACTGTAACCTACGGCTCATCCGTTCATTGAGTGCACTTCTACATCAAAGTAATGCCTTTGCCCAGGCATACAAAATGTTGAATGAGGTAGCTTTGGAGGAAGATTGCCGTGCTGCTAGAGAAGGAAGATCAGCCAAACCTGTGAGAATGGTGTTTGAAACGCCTTCGAATGTAGACCGACATAGATATAATGCACCTATAGCCAATGAAGTTGCAGTGATATACGTTGGAGACGATGGAGATTTACCTGCCGAGCATAACCTTGCAGTGCACCTAAGAGGAGGAGGGCTACGCTCTATCCGAGTGATTGATGCCGATTGCGATCCCTTGACCTACTCAGTCCTCTTTCCGTATGGAGAGCTGGGATGGCACCCGAATATGCTGAAGAACCAATCGGAGAAACGTCGTGCCAGGATAACGCAGGAGTATTACTCCAACATGATAGCCGCAGGGATGAATTCAGTCCTCTTCACTTTGCTGGAAAACTCTATCAGCAATTTTTGGTGGACAGCTACCTTGAGATAGAGCAGAATAGAATGAATTACGATCGCACCCATCAAACTGAGCTCAGAGTCGACAGCTACAGAGGCCTCTCTGACTACGTGGCAGGTGACAACGATATTGCAGTCCACCAGGTTTCAGGCGTATTATACTGCCTTCTTCGTTACCAGGATCACCCCGTGCAATGGTACAGAACTATCAAGATGCTATGGCCATTGTGTCCAAATACGTTAAACCGGACCTCTTCATCACGTTCACGTGCAATGCAGGAGAAATTGCTGAGCAATTGCACAATGGACAGACGGCTTCCGATAGACCAGATATCGTCGCCCGAGTTTTTCACATTAAGTTTCAGGAGCTCTATAAAGATTTGTTCAAGCGGCAGATTTTTGGAGCTGTAAATGCGTATGTATCGGTAATGGAATGGCCGAAACGAGGACTCCCGCACTATCACATGTTGATAACCTTGGCAGTACAGGACAAACCGAGAAGTATCACCGAGATAGTCTCTATTGTACAAGCCACCATACCTGAACAAGAAACAGAGGCTCGCCTTTACGACATTGTGACTACTTGCATGATGCACAGACCATGTGGAGCGGATAATCCGCGGTCGCCGTGTATGGTCGATGGGAAATGCTCTAAAATGTTTCCGAAGGAGTTCAGAGACGAAACAAGTGCAGAATTTGACACTTATCCGATGTATCGAAGACCAAACGACGGTCGAACATGTGTTTCGGATAGAAAGGTCCTTGATAATAGATCGGTAGTGCCGTACAACAGATATTTGGCTCTTCGCTATAACGGCCATTTGAACGTAGAAATCTGTGGGATGATTCAAGCTGTTAAATACATGTACAAGTACGTTTACAAAGGACCTGACCATGCAACACTCCGTATGGTACGGAACGAAAACGGTTTCGAAAACAGAGTGATTGACGAGATCGACGAATTCGTGAACGCTAGATACATGTGCGCACCGGAAGCTGTTCATAGACTCCTTGGATTTGATCTCCAATCAAAGTCACACACCGTCTGTAGATTGCAGGTTCACTTGCCAGACTATCAGAATGTGACATTCCAAGGAGGTAGGGAAGAAGAGGCAGTCCGTGGAGCAGACGACCAAGACACAACACTCACGGCATTCTTCAAATTGAACGAGGAAACGAACTTTTATATGGTAAAGGTGACGTGCCTGAAGGAGGAAAGGATGTTAGCACATTATTTTATGTGGCAGGTGCCAGAACTCTTCTCATTTGACCAGAAGGAACGGAAGTGGAAAATGAGACTAAGACAAAATCGTCAAATTGGGAGGATGTATACAGCGGATCCTTCAGATGTAGAACGGTACAGCCTCCGAATT